CAAATGAGCTAATGGAAAGTGCTTACAATAGAGTGTGGCCCATAGTGTTAGTTACCATCATCACCGTCCTCATCAGTGAAGACCATTTGGATTGTGCGTTCCTCAGAGAAGCTGGGCACTGCAGAATGAGGCCCATTCTTCCAAAATCACGCTATTGGAACTTGTGATTTTCTAGCTTATAATAGTGCATCCTGTGCTTTGTTTTCATTGGTTTTGTTTTCTGGGGGTTTTTTTGGTTTTGTTTTTTGCCTCTACTGTTCTGTTGGGGGGTTACATTGAAGGTGCAGTTACACAAGCGTTGAGTTTCACAAATATGTTTTGTGTGTGTATGTAGACTTACGCATAAGGTATGGAGTACTGGTAGAGACGACCATATTACAGATGAAGGGAAACGGCCTTGGGACGTGTTATAATAGTCAGTGTTGATACTGAAGTAACTGAGTCCATTTTAATGGAATTTGGTGTTTTCACATAAGTGGGTATTAATTTGGGAGCTAAGAACACGTAAGGGTTTATCAGGAATTAATTACCCATAAGGCAGGGTAAGACTAGTTGAATATTACACTTTTTAAAAGCAAAATTTATTTTATCCATTTTAGATAGGAAATCTTTTTTTTTTTTTTTGTGAGGAAGATCAGCCCTGAGCTAACATCTATTGCCCAATCCTCCTCTTTTTGCTGAGGAAGACTGGCCCTGGGCTAACATCCGTGCCCATCTTCCTCCACTTTATATGGGACGCCGCCACAGCATGGCTTGACAAGCAGTGCGTAGGTGCGTGCGCGGGATCCGAACCAGTGAACCCCGGGCCACCGCAGCAGAGTGCGCACACTTAACCGCTTGCGCCACTGGGCTGGCCCCCAGGAAATCTTTTTTAATGCAATTCGCTGGCCAAGGGGGCTCACAAGGTCCAGTGCCCACCCTCCTCTAGACAAAGTCCTTATCTTTGCGTAGGTCAGTGCCCCTCGCCATGGATTTTCCATTTCAGTTTCAGCCCCTCACTGCTCAGAACCTCCTTGCTCCTCACCCGGCCCGTTCCTCCCCACTGCCAAACCCTTCCACGATGAAGAAATGCCTGACATCCTCAGCCTCACCAGCCTCCCCTCACTGCCTGCACCTCCTTGTTCAACAGACCCTGGCCATCTGGGCATACCACTCTCACTACTCACTGCTGGCGTGAGGGGTGGTTATTTCCTCTTGCTTGTGCTAATTGATGGGATTGACTCCTTCTTAGTCCGTACACGTGCTTCTGATAATTACCCCTCCACTCTCAATGCCTGTGAGCTAGACCGCTTTTCCCCTACATTGATACATCTTCTCCTCACTTCCTGGCACTTTGCTTCGTTCATCAAAGGCTTTGCCAACAGACACACCTCCATCTTCTACACTCTTAATTCCTGCTATTATCTTGAGTGATTTCTCACCCAACACCATGTCTCCTCAGTTCTCTGGACTCCTCCATGTCTAAGGATTTCCTTCCCTCCCTTGGTCACCCCTTGGGCCTTGTCGCCTCCCATAATTCCTTTAAGTACAACCAGGCCTCCTTCCTACTGGTCTGTGTAACTCCTCACTTTGACCTCTCTGAAGTCATCTGCACCTTCCACCCACTGACTCCTCATTGTTTTATGGAGAAGTTCACATATATACAAAAGTAGAGAGAAGATTCTGTTTTATCTATTGTCAAGAGTAGTTCATAGGTAGAATTGTGGACTTCAATCAAGAGACGCTTCTCTGCTTTTAAGCCCCCAAAATGTTTGCCTACCAGCTCTCCCAGACACAGTTCTAGGCACTGGAAGTATACAGCAGTGAGCAAAACAAAACAAAAGCTCCTGCCCTCACTGAGCTTTTGTATTCTAGTTTGCATTTTCCCAAACCATTAGCGCTGTCCATTTTACTTTCGTCTTGGGTCGGAATTAGAGTATTTTCTTGTCCATACTGTAAATGTCTGTGCTCTCTGCTTTGTCACACATCCATCTCAGTGCCTACCTCTGAGTACAGGCATGCGGTGAGTCAAGGTCACACACCAGGGTGTATTGTTCCCACCAGTTTTGGATGGGTGTCTACTCACTCAGCAATCCTGTCTGTTTCACTGGGAACTTCACACCCCCGCTCTCTTCAACAACTTCTTCTTTTCCCAGTTCCTAATTTCTCACAAATGAGAACCTCGATTCCTAACAAATTACTTCAATTCCTAATATCCAGAAGCAATAATAATAACAACAATTCACAATTATTGAAGGCTGATTACATGTACCAACTCAATTAATCCTTATAATAACCCTAATATCGGTAAAATGCTTGGACTAATAGCACATAGTAAGTGCTCAACAAATGTTGGCTATTATTTTTTATTAAACTCAGTACCCACCATCCCACTTGCTACAGTCCCATAGTCCAGCCACGTCAGACCATTTGGAGTTTCCTGCTCTCCCTGGGCTTGCCTTTCTCATGTCCCTACTTCTGTACCTGCTGCTGCCTTTCTTGTATTGCTCTCCCTCCTCTCACCTGCCTGGTCACTTCCTGTTCATTGATGAAGACTCTGTGCAAATGTTCTTTCTCCAAGAGGCCCTCACACACATACACACACAGGCACATTAATGTGACTCTTTTGTCCCTTGTTACACACATATATTGTAGCAGTTTATTTTATTGGTATAACTTTCTCCAGGGTGAACAGGAAAGGAACTCAGTTTTGAGTGCCTACTATACTGCCCTACAGCACTTCATTTAATCCACACACAACCCAGTGAGGTGGATGGTGGTCGCCTCATTTTAGAACTGAGAAACCTGAGAATGAAAACTATTAAGTAACTTCCCCAAAGATGCACAGCCAGTGAAGATCAGAACTGAGATTCACTCCTAGGTCTGCATATCTCTAAATTGGCCTGTGTTCATTCAGCTACACTCATTCCACATTCCTAAGTTTAAACCATACTTTAGAAGGTGATGTTTGTCTTGATGGGTGCTGTGTTCGTTATGCAAGCATGATTTTGCTTTGAACTTGATTTCAAATGTGGTGGATGCTCAATGGATGTTCTTTTCGTCATGCAAGCATGCTTATGTTGGACCAATTTCAAACATTGTCCAAAAATCACAGACACGTTTTGCTCTGTCGCCATACTTTCTTGAAATAAAATTTTTCTGACTGATTTATCATCAACAACCATTTTTATAAAGCTAGGAACCATTTATTTTTAATATTTCTTGAAACCTCATAGTCATATACTTTGACATCTTTGTTGGCTTTTTATTTTCTGATTGTTGACTGTGCCCCAAAAAGTTAAAGTTGCCTGATCCATAATTTCTTCTAGGTGAGATTTTCGAGTAATATCACTAGTAATTTGAAATCATTTTACTTACCTTTCCCTCACTTCCCAAGCTTCTAGCCCCACATCTTATTCACGTGATGAGGTGTGTCATAGTCCAAATCAAGCATCACATGGGGAGAAACTGATAACATACGGTAAAATAAGGTCACTGCAAATAAGGACAGAATGGGGTAAAAACATTACAAGTCACAATAGCATAAAATAAAGTTATTTAGAGTAAGAGAATTACTGATAACTCTCTCCTTCCCTTTCACTTACTCCTGCATCTAATATGTAAGCAAGGCCTGTCAATTCTGCCTTTCAATTTATCTCAAATCAGCCCATTTCTCTCCATGGCCTCTGCCTTACTCTAGTTTAAGCCACTTTCGTCTCTGACCTGGAAGACTACAGGTGACTTCCCTGAGTCTGCATCCCCAGCACCCGTCACACTTCTTCCGCTTTGTCATTTCCACACAACACCCAGAGAAGCTCTTGAAACCAAAAATCACATCCTGTCACTCCTCTGCTGAAGTAGATCGTGAACTTTGTAAATAGTACCTTGGCAAAGCAGACAGTATATAAATCTAGATTTTTCCTGCTCCACATTACTCAACACATTTTAAGTGCCCAAATTTGCCAAGATTATGAGTCCCCCATCCAGACTTATGTGCATTATTGTCCGACACAGAGCAATGACAAAGAAATGTGTTCTCCTATAAAGCATGCCTTGCAGTATCCAGACTGTCCTGAGCTAGACAGCTGTCCATTTGGTTGGAGCAGAGAGCAAATGTGTCTAGATTCAGGTAACACAGACTGTGTGAATGGAGCCTTACAAAGCCCCTTCTCACAGGTCTGGATCTAACTGGCAGTGGTGCCGTTAACTCTAATGCTGTTCTCCTGAGGAAGGAGTCAAGATGCCAAATGAAAAGTTCTCTGTTAAAGATGTAAATCTTGCACAGACGAAACGTTGATAGCAGTTGTTGAGTGTGTGAGGGCTTATAGAAAAGTGAGATAGATCATAGTATATTCATATTCATATATAATAGAGAACAAAAGTTCTCTGTTAAAGATGTAAATCTTTCACAGAGGAAATGTTGGTAGCAGTTGTTGAGTGTGTGAGGGCTTATAGAAAAGTGAGATAGATCATAGTATATTCATGAGTATAGTGCCGTATTCATTCATGCTTCAGTCTGAATCAGTACCAAGACCTTTGTACTCTGAAAAATGTATTCATGTTTGAAGTTAGGTGGATGAAAACACCAGGATTCCTGAGTAGGGGAAAACACACATATATATATAATGTTAATATGTCATTTCCAAATAAAAGCACGAATATATTCATATGTATGTATTTAACTTATTACTAAATGAAATAGATGTTCGTGTCTTTCAACAGATACTTACCAAACACTCAGTGTTTACCAAAGCTAAAGGTGTAAGACCCTGGGTTAGCTGCTTTCTCTCTGTCACTAAGAGGTCGATCATGCTAGTCAGCTGCCTGAATGCCCATCCCCTCTCCAATTCTGCAACTCAACTCAGTGAAAGAAGAAGAAAAGAGAAAATATGTGCATTAGCTTATAATTAGAGTAAAAAATAGGTCAAACTCCTCCTCTCACATGATCCTTTTTTCCTTGGTTCCTCCAGCCTACTCTGCCTTCCTTTTTTTTTTATCATTCTGGTACATTCACTTATTTCCCTTTTTACTGTGGTCCCTTTAAGCATGATCAACTGAGCAACTGTCACAGAAGCTGCAACTGTTGTAGATTCTGCAAGTTTGCTTCTGGATTCTTAAACACTTTTAGTTTAGGAGAGGCTTAAGTATTAATCATGGCTTCTGATTCAAGCCCAGCCTCTGAGGATACTTTTCAAGGTAAGAATTTATCAAGAAGATTTCATGCGCTAACCTCGGCGGTACATTTTTTGCGCTGTGCTCCATTTGCGATGGGCCAGCCATTAACCCGTGGTCAGTAGCATACGTGCTCTGCTGTAGTGAGTACTCAAGGATTTATTGGCCGTGCTTCAGATAGTTTTTCTGAAATAGTGATGCCATTAAACCCCCTTACCTATTCTCATATCTTTGCCAGCAGACAAGAACTAGAGATTCAGTTTTGACTGTGGAATGGAGATTTTTCAGAGCAAAGTTCGTAAAGCTATTGCCTCCTAGTTTTAAGAAACTGGCTTACAGTTCAGGCTCTCATGTGTTAAATGTTTATCAAAACTACAGATACCGGGAACAAATTCTCTTTGATAAATGTTTTCAGATATGCTTAATCTGGGCCGGCCCCGTGGCTTAGTGGTTAAGTGCACATGCCCCGCTACTGGCGGCCCGGATTCAGATCCGGGTGCGCACCGACACACCGCTTCTCTGGCCATGCTGAGGCCGCATCCCACATACAGCAACTAGAAGGATGTGCAACTATGACATACAACTATCTACTGGGGCTTTGGGGAAAAAAGGAGGAGGATTGGCAATAGATGTTAGCTCAGACCTGGTCTTCCTCAGTAAAAAGAGGAGGATTAGCATGGATGTTAGCTCAGGGCTGATCTTCCTCACAAAAAAAAAAAAAGATATGCTTAATCTGAGAATATTGTCAGAAAAATATTCGTGGTTTATTAATTTGTACACTTCTAAAAAGTAACCTTGTGGTGATTTAGACAGTGCCATCTAAGTTACTCTTCCAGTGAGAGTTTCCCCCATCTCTATTTCAGCGCCAGTGTGTTGCTCTGCTCGTTACAACTTAGCGGTCTTGGCCTTTTTTGGTTTCTTCGTTCTCTATGCATTACGTGTGAATCTGAGTGTTGCACTCGTGGATATGGTAGATTCAAATACAACTTTAGCAGATAACATCACTTCCAAGGAGTGTGCAGAGCATTCTGCTCCCATAAAAGTTCTTCGCAATCAAACGGTAAGTGCTGTTTTTTAAGCAAACAATCTTAATCATGAAATACTTCCAAGTAAAAGTTTTGAAAGGTCTTTCTATATGCTTCAGAAACCACCAACATTTTCTTCATGTAAACTCTGAATCACTGTCTTTTGTGTTTTCCCGGGAACTGGTTGAAGAGTAACTTGTTACCATAGCCTGTTGCTGTGCTGTAATACACATTTTGAAATTAGTTTTTCAGTTTCCTCTATTAACGTACCATCCTTAAAGACAGTTTGGAAAAACCTGTTTGGCATACCAGAAAATTAGATTCTCTTAGATGTTGCTAAATAGTTTCTGTAGGACTATTATTTTAATAGCTGTTTTACTTCTAAGGTTCCTGTTGCCAGAGAGCTTAGATAATCTCAACTGCAGAATGAAGAAGAACGGGTCCATTTCTGAGGACGTTCTTTTCCAAAATTTGTACACACCTCACCTAAGCTACTGAAGCCATTTTGCCTGCCTCATGTCGTAGTGGAATTGATAAGTGTGTGTTTATCATTTGTTCAAAATTAAATTTCACACACTTTATTTTATTTTGCTTATCACACAGGGGGATAGTACAGAGAGAAAGGCTGGTGTCCTTTGTGATAAGTTGGTTTTCATCCACTTTCAGCGCTCACAAAGGAGCCGGATCACACTCAGATGCATCTCTTCTGCCGTTTACAAACAAGAGTGTCAAGCAGGGAAGAGGGTTTCTCCCAAACAAGCACACAGACAAAATAATGACTTATCAAGAATCTCTGTTGGGCCGGCCCTGTGGCTTAGCGGTTAAGTGCACGCGCTCCGCTACTGGCGGCCCGGGTTCGGATCCCGGGTGCGCACCGACGCACTGCTTCTCTGGCCATGCTGAGGTGGCGTCCCACGTATAGCAACTAGAAGGATGTGCAACTATGACATAAAACTATCTGCTGGGGCTTTGGGGAAAAAAGGAGGAGGATTGGCAATAGATGTTAGCTCAGAGCCGATCTTCCTCAATAGAAAGAGGAGGATTAGCACGGATGTTAGCTCAGGGCTGATCTTCCTCACAAAAAAAAAAAAAAAAGAATCTCTGTATTTGACTTCAACACCGTTGCTGAATACATGTTTGGGTGCTTATCACCCACTTTCCCCACTCCAGCCTGTGATCTGTACCTGCTGAACAGTTCATGAAGTCCTAGAATTCCACAGATAAGCTACAAATTGGTACCTAAACAAAGATAGTTAACGATTTGCTTTATATCTCTCCCTTTGGCAAGAGCTTTTGTTGCTCTAGCTCCTATCTTCACCTGCCTCATGTGACAGCAACAGGGAGTCCTGGGATGGCTCTTGGCCCCATGGCTTGGTTATACAGCTCATGTGTTCAAGATGTCAGATGTTCAGATCAGTCACCAAATCTTCATTATTACCTTACTATGTGCTGCTGCTAATTCAGACATTCCCTACTCACGGGAAGTTTATGGCTTTGTTTAAATTCTTGCCCTTTTGTATTGTTCTGTATGCTTGTTCAAGTGCTTAGTCTGACATGGGGGAGATATTAGTGATCTATATTTATGCATATGAATAGCCAACATGAAGTGAACACTTAGCATGTCAGGCTGCCTTTTATGTGCCTTTTTCATTTAATCTTCCCGGATCACAAATCCAGTAAGTAATAGAGCTAGGCATGAACCAGGCCTGTCTCACAGGCCAGGCTCAGCCACTACAGTATCCTGTTTAGTAGCTTTCTGGATTAAGCCTGTCCCTCTTGTTTGAGCCTTCTTGGCCATGGTCATTACCAAACCTCTACAACTCATTCGATAGTCTAGTTTCATAAAATAGCAAGCCTTCTTGAAGTTGATGACTTTCAGTTATCTCCCATTCACTTCTAGAAACTGTGTGTCTGGGGCCGGCCCCATGGCGTAGCGGTTAAGTGCACACGCTCTGATGCTGGCGGCCCAGGTTTGGATCCCGGGTGTGCACTGACACACCACTTGTCAGGCCATGCTGTGGCGGCGTCCCATATAAAGTAGAGGAAGATGGGCACAGATGTTAGCCCAGGGCCAGTCTTCCTCAGCAAAAAGAGGAGGATTGGCATGGATGTTAGCTCAGGGCTAATCTTCCTCTCACACACACACACACACACACACACACATACACACTAACTAAATAATTAATTAATTAAATTTTAATTAATTAAAAAAAGAAAGAAACTGTGTGTCTGTATCGTGGTGACTTACCTACCTAGTAGAAAGTTTGCATGTTCTTCAGTCTAAAACAGTGGTTCAGAATTACATTTAGATGTACTTACATGCCAATAAGAGAAAGGAGCTATTTAGTCAAAGTCTTAAAAAGTGGGTTTTTTCCTCCTCCTCTTTATAGGGTAAAAGGTACCAGTGGGATGCAGAGACCCAGGGATGGATTCTCGGTTCTTTTTTTTATGGCTACATCATCACACAGATTCCTGGAGGATATATTGCTCGCAAAGTCGGGGGAAAACTGCTGCTAGGTTTTGGGATCCTTGGCACCGCTGTCTTCACGCTCTTCACACCCTTGGCTGCCGATTTTGGAGTTGGAGCTCTCATTGTCCTCAGAGCACTAGAAGGGCTTGGAGAGGTAATGTTTTCCTTCTCTTTTTCTTACCCGATATCATTTTCTTGTCTTCTTAAAGATATCCTTCTTTGGTATGAATATGAACCAAAAATTGACATTGGAAGATAAGAGGGATTTATTTTTTAGTTAGAAAAATGATTAACTAGAAAATAACCTGAGTAGGTTTTGTTTATGCTCAGTGAGGTCTCTAGGGAGAGTGCCCCCAAATTGGAGGCTTTACCTGAAGACTAGAGAAAACATGTTCCAGGAGACACTTCACAGCTTTCCCTACTCTCTCCTCCTCTGGGAGATAAGAAAATAAACCACTGGTAAGGGGCCGGCTGGGTGGCACAAGCGGTTAAGTGCGCGCGCTCTGCTGCGGAGGCCCAGGGTTCGCCAGTTCGGATCCCGCGCACGCACCAACACACTGCTTGGCAAGCCATGCTGTGGCGGTGTCCCGTATAAAGTGGAGGAAGATAGGCACGGATGTTAGCCCAGGCCAGTCTTCCTCAGCCAAAAAAAACAGGGGGATTGGCAGATGTTAGCACAGGGCTGATCTCACAAAAAAAATATGTGTGTATGTGTGTATATATATATATAAAATAAATAAACCACTGGTAAAATAGTGAGAGACCATCCTCAGCTCTAGAACTTCTGCCACAGTTTATCTCTGCTCTATCATTGATTGCTCAGATCTAAACACATCTACACAATAGATTGTCAGATTGCCTTGCTTTACTTTTAAATTTGTTGTTATTCATAGAACTTCTTTATCATTTGTTCTTTTTTCTGGTCCTAGAGACGAATAATTTATCATTTTCTCTAACTATCATTCTTTAGTTCTAGGATTCTTCTGGCCTTTCTGCTGCTTTTAGAATTGTTTTTATTAATTTTTATCTCTTTTTCCCTCTCTCTTTCTAAGATTTTTATTATTTAAAAATTTTTTAATTCCTTATCTTTCTTTTCCTTTCCACTTCTATTCTGCATTTCATCATATGTACCTCCATATTTAAATAATGATCTCTTTTCATTTCTAACTTTGAACTTCTACCCATGAAACTGAGGTTTAGGTTTATTTTTCTCTCTCTTAACATTTCTTTAGCCTGAGAAAGACAGTGGCTTCTGGGTTTGGTAATAGCAGGAAGGTTATTTTAGGTAGCAGTGTCTCATGCTGTGTTGGAAAAACACTGAATGGATTCATAAAATCAGAGTTTGATTAATAACTCCACTGTCTCTAATGGTGAAACCTTAGGGAAGTTCTAATCTCTAAACCTCAGTTTCATCAATTTTAAAATTGGGACTAAAATACCTACCCCCTCCTCAGTCACAGCTCAGATGTGATAATGATTGCTAGAATACTTTGGAAATTGCTAAGTGCTGTTTAAATTTAAGCTTTGATCACTCATGTGAATGTTTTTATTTTGTCCTTATTGAATAGAGGTGTACTAAATAAACCCTTCTTGACTACAAGATAAAAAAAACCCTCTATTACCAGCTTCCTCTTCTGCTCACCTAAGTAAAATATACTTAATTGTAGTATATTTTCTCTGATCCAGATATTGAATCTCCTTGCTGAATGTATTCCCATGTTTTAGCTTCCTGTCTGTTTATGCTACTAATTTTGCATTATAATATATTGATTATATTACTACTGCTATCTCAAGTGACCATTTTATTTCTATATAGGATTTTGTGTGTGTGTGTGTGAGGAAGATCAGCCCTGAGTTAACGGCCGTGCTAATCCTCCTCTTTTTGCTGAGGAAGACCGGCTCTGAGCTAACATCTATTGCCAATCCTCCTCCTTTTTTTTCCCGAAAGCCACAGCAGATAGTTGTATGTCATAGCTGCACATCCTTCTAGTTGCTGTATGTGGGATGCAGCCTCAGCATGGCCAGAGAAGCGGTGCGTCGGTGCGCGCCCGGGATCCGAACCCAGGCCGCCAATAGCAGAGCGTGCACACTTAACCGCTAAGCCACGGGGCCGGCCCTCTGTATAGGATTTAAGTTGTGTTTATTCTTAGGTTCTTTTGTGTTTCTCAATTCCTCCAATATGTATCACATGTACATTGCCTCATCTGTGAACTAGGTCAGCATCTTGCATCCCTAGCATCTGATTCACCATAAATATACCTACATTGTCCCTAAACTACATGATCTCTGTGGACATTTCCAAACATCTTAAGCATTATTCTATAAAGACTCATCCTGTGGATGCTCCATGACACAGATTCGTATCGATTTGCAATGCTGCCTAAATCATTTTTGCCTTCCATTAGTATTTCTTTTTTCTTTTTTTGTTTTTGAAGGAATCAGCAGAAAGTACAAAAGTATTAAAGCATTTATTCTTCTCTCAATTTATAATAGCACTCTCTATCATTTATCTTTACAACAATCATGCAAGATAGAGAGTATTATCTCTGTTTTACAGATAAAGAAACTGAAGTTCAAGGAAGTTAACTAATCTATCTGAGGCTACACAGTTAGTAAGTGGCCAAGGAGAGCTGTGAATCTCTGCTTTGACTCTGCCAAAACCTATTCCTTCCCACTCTCCTGCAGCCTCTGCTCCTCTCGCAAGTCTCTTTGAGCCTCCTTGCCTCCACTGTTCCATTGCCTCTCCATATAAGTAGTTAGCATTTACTAGGCTAGTTATCACCAGAAAAAAACAAAAAAAAAGACTATAAACTCTCAGTTGAATTTATCCTTTTTTTGGTAGGACCATTTTTCCTGTTGATGGAGGTCAATTTGAATTTTATTCCAGTATCCCGAAGTATTGTTGTTGTTAGCCTTGTCAAGTGCATTTTGACACCTAGTGACACTGTGTACAGCAGGGGGGAAACCCTGCCCTGTCTTTTTTGTGCCACCCTCTCACCTTCTGGTGCTATATAAGATGATGTTCCACTGCTATTCACAGGGTTCTCATGGCCAGTTTTTTTGGAAGTGGGTGGCCATGTCCTTCTTCCTAGTCTGTCTTAGTCCAGAAGCTCCACTGAAACCTGTCCACCTGGGTGACCCTGCTGGCATTTGAAATACCAGTGGCAGAGCTTTCAGCACCACAGACACACACAGCCACCACAGTATGACAACTGACAGACGGGCATCGTGGTTCCCTGACTGGAACAAGAACAAACCCAGGCTGCGGGAGTGAGAGCCCCGAATCGTAACCACTAGACCACCAGGACTGGCTTCCGAAAGTATTAGCTCAGTATTTTTAAAAGCTATGTATTGATAACCTTCCCACTTCATTCAGGCCATTAATAAAGTGAATGAGTAAAATTAACCTTGAAAAGAGTCCCCTTATGTCATCATTCGATACGTTCTTTTAGATTTATTGTAACCCTTACCTTGCAGCTCACAAACCCATTGACAAAATCCACAAATCTTTGTTCAGATTTTGAAAGTACTTCATTATAAGGCATTTTCACTCAATAGTGTAAAGACGTCTCGCTTCGTGGAACCTGATTCTAGTTTGATTTTTATCCAGAAGTTTCTCTTGCAACACCCTACTCAACTGAGTTTAAAACGTTAACAAAACTACCTTGTATTTCATCAGAAATATTTTCTCCCCTCCTCAGGGTGTCACGTTTCCAGCTATGCATGCCATGTGGTCTTCCTGGGCTCCGCCTCTTGAGAGAAGCAAGCTTCTTAGCATTTCATATGCGGGTGAGTCAACTGTTCTTATAAGAGTGTTTTCTACAACTTGTTATGTGTATATCAACCTCGGGGAAAAAGTGTTTGCACGCCAGAGCATGCGATGTCAGATGCCTCCTTGGGGAAAATAAGGTTTGAGGGGTATAACTTTATTATTAATTTTTCTCTTTGGCTCAATGACATATCGCAATGTGGCTTAATTGACTAATGTCATTTTCTCCATCCATCATCATTTATTTCAAAACATGTTGCATTTTCAGATATTGGTATAGAGAATGCTGGGTTTCTTTTAAAGTCCAATAGCTGGAAAATTGAACACTTTTGTCCTTAAATTGCAATCTCTAATTCGATTGTCTAGTGAGTATATCATGACTCACAACCCCTCTCTTCGTACATCTTTTTTCTATGCATTTATTTGCTGTCATTTTGATCTATGGGTGAGAGAGCATGAGCTTCATATGTGAATTTATAGTTTTACCGGATCACACACTGAGTGAAAACTTTTTGATCTGACTGCTTTTATTTATTTTTTTATTTTTGTGAGGAAGATCAGCCCTGAGCTAACATCCATGCTAATCCTCCTCTCTTTTTTTTTCTTTTTTTTTGCTGAGGAAGACCGGCTCTGAGCTAACATCTATTGCCAATCCTCCTCCTTTTTTTTCCCCCAAAGCCCCAGTAGATAGTTGTGCGTCATAGTTATGTCATAGTTGCACATCCTTCTAGTTGCTGTATGTGGGACGCGGCCTCAGCATGGCCAGAGAAGCGGTGAGTCGGTGCGTGCCCGGAATCCAAACCCGGGCCGTCAGTAGCGGAGCGTGCGCACTTAACCGCTAAGCCACGGGGCCGGCCCTGACTGCTTTTAAATACAGTGGTTGGGAAAGGCCTCTCTGTGGTGACTTTAAGGATAAGAATGAACCAGTCATGTGAAGAGCAGGAAAAGAGCATTCCAGCCAATCAGAATAGCGTGTACAAGAAGAGCTCTTGGGCAGGAAAAACATAAGGGTTGAAAGAAATGAAAAACCACTGTGGGTGGCCAGAACATAATGAATAAAGGGGATAATGGCAGAAGCTGAGGTTAGAGAAATAGACAAGAGCCAGATTATATCAGGCCTTACAGGTCACAGGAAGGAATGTAGTCGGGTTTTTTTTTCCAAAATACAATGGGGAAACATCAGAGGTTTTAATCAAGAGAGAGACATGATCCAGTTTACGTTTTAAGAAGGTGATTCTTGCAGCTATGCAGAGATTGATGTGAGAAATGGAGAAGTTCAAGAACAGGTACTATCTCTGTTTCCCCTTTACCTGTTGAATAAAGTCTAAGCTTGAACTAGGGGTCAAGATTCTTAACAGTCTTCACCGCTTCATTTCAGCTAGCCTAGTCCGTGGCACACAGTGCCTGACGTGGAGTAGATGTTCAGTAACTATCCAACCTATTTTTCTAGGCTTTATCTTCTGTTCCTTTCCTTCACCCAAGTGAAGTTCCCAAACCCACCCTCTGCTTTCCTACTTGCACTGCTTTGCTCATCCTGCTACATCTGCCTCTGTATCTTCTCTTACCTTGTTTCTATGAGACCAAATCTTACCCATCTTTTCAAAGTCTGTTGCCACTTCTTACATCTTTTCCTGACATTTGGAAGTCAGAGGTAATCTGTCCCATATTTGAACTTCCATATTGCTCTGTGACACTTAATATGTAATAATTATTTATCTATATTTATTTCCTATATAAAACTAAAACTTGTGACTAGAAACAATGTCTGATTATTTTAGCATCCACTGTACCTACTAAGATGTCTTGTGTTTGGTGGTTAAAACGAATTTTATTATTCATTTATCTGAAACAATTGTTTGTAATCTATTTTGGACAAATTGTATTATTGAAAGCGTCATTCTTATTTCATCAAGTATGCTGCAGTGGGTTTTGTTTATCAGCCTTAGAGACCATCTCTAAACCTTTCCCCAAACCCCTGATTTCTAACACATTTACTAGTATTGTGGCATTTACTAACTCATATTATATAAGAAGTCTTATACTGATTAATCCCTTCTAATTCATCAATAGCTACGTAGTTGTCACTGAGGTAACTACATACTAATGTATACGTTTTACATATTGTGTTTTCTAATAATCCTTTAAGAGAATGGATTGTTTATATTTACATGTGATTGATTCAACTCCTGTAGGATCTGAATCATTCTTTCTTTTCTCCAGTATCTGTTACCCTCTTCTTTAAGCAGGAGACCTGTCCCCTGTTTGTTCATCTCTCTCCAAAGTTTACAAAGTCTTTGTTGTTGTTCTAGGAGCACAGCTTGGGACAGTAATTTCTCTTCCTCTGTCTGGAATAATTTGCTTGTATATGAATTGGACTTATGTCTTCTACTTTTTTGGTAAGTTTATTCAAAAATTTAACCTAAATTATAATGTAACAAACCCAAAATCTAATAGAAGGAATAATTGGTTAAAAATATATATTTCAACTCACTGAAATAACTATCTCCTAAACCACGAAGCTCTAAAATGCATACTGATAACTTGTTTTTCAAGTTTAAATGGTTAAAATGATCTAGCTGAGTTATACCTCATGTTAATTTTGGAATATTTCTCAATAGAAACTGCTTAAATGGGACTTAAATGCTATACTTACTGTCAAAAATTACTATGTTGGATATTATAAAAATGTATATTTTGAAAATATTTCTTCTCAGCAAAGTAAGGTGCTCTCACTTGGTAGTTTTAACCTTTTTTTCTTTGTATTTAGTCCCAGGGCCTTTCATTTCTCAATTTTATTAGCAGGATGATACACATTTTTAATAAATTAGATTGCCGCATAGACATTTCATGCAGGAAATATATCTGCAATTGAAACAAAAAACAAATCAATAAACAAAAACAGATACCCATGGAAATAATAGATTGTGGAAATTTATTTTTTAAAAGATTTGTGTGGTAGACCCTGATAGGCAGAGTCTTGTGGTTAAAAGTTGTTCTCTTCAAAATTAATAGGAAACAATACAGATAGCAATTATCCTATTAAAGAATTAGGAGAGAAACTTGAAATGAAAACTAAGCTGAAACCAATTTTACATTGAGTTTATAGTTACATAATTTTTTCAAGACATGTAAAACTTGCTGTTGGTGCATTTTAATTATATTTAATTATTTTCTATTTTAAGGTATAGTTGGAATCATTTGGTTTATTTTATGGATCTCATTAGTTAGTGATACACCAGAAACCCACAAGAGAATCTCCCACTATGAAAAGGAATACATTCTTTCATCATTAAGAAATCAGGTATGGACTTTGGCACATTTAAAAAATAATTTCAGAACCTTTTTTTCTTCAGAATTAAGATACTGATGTTTTTTATATATATTTCTATTGTGCATGCTCTAGGCAAAGTAGAGCAGACAAATGAAATAAATGTACAAAGTATTGGTTTGTTTTGTCTGAGAAATTTCAGTTCTTTCTAGATTAAATCTATGAAAAATTACTTTTCTAAGTCATTTTAAACCTTCTAGAGTAATGATTGATTATCAAGTGAGTCTTAAGTTTGTCTTCTTAATTTAGAAAATAAAATGTGTTATTTATGAAAGGAATCTTATAGTTACATTCTAAATGTTAGTTATTAGAAAGCTAACTAGTGTGTTTTTATCTGTATTTTAAATGAGTGTAATTTAATAAGGAGGACAGCACGTTTATCATCATATATAATAATATAATATAGATACCTGTTTGCTCCTCTAGAGTAGATCTTTAAAAAAAAAATTATATCTTATTAAAGCCATATTTTTATCACTTAATCAAGCACCATAGCAAGTCAGAAAAAAAAGTCTGTCATAATTTAATATGGTAAATTCTCAAGCCATGGAAAGAAAATATTTGTCTTTTGGGAGGAATAAAAGAGGAACATGAAAACATTAGGAAAAATTAAAATATATACATTTTTTTCTTAGCATTATTAATGGCTTCATAGTTTATTAGTTTAAGAACAAAATATTTCATGTAAAACTCTTTTTGCCCATTAAGTTACTATTATTGATATTTTTATTTTTTTTTTCTTTTTTGCTGAGGAAGATTCACCCTGAGCTAACATCCACTGCCAATCTTTCTGTTTGTGTATGTGAGCCACCACCATAGCATGGCCACTGGCAGACAAGTGGTATAGGTCTGTGCCTGGGAACAAAACCTGGGCTGCCCAAGTGGAGTGTGCTGGACTTAACCGCTAGGCCATTGGGGCTGGCCCTTCAATTTTTATATATATTATAATCAAGCAGTAATTAAATATTTACTCAGTCACATTTCTTTTTAAGTTTTTCAGTTTTGCTACAAATGTCTATAAGCTACTAAACTTGAAGAAATATGGCATCTCTCGGTCTTTGCTGAAGGTTGGCAGAAACTTAGAAGAGATCAATCATGTAATAAAGAAAGTTACTTTGAGATCTTAGTGTCCTCTGTGATGTTACTCAAATGAGTCACCCACTTTTTCCCCTTAGGAACAGGTAAAAAGAATTTAATGCATTGTAAACAGGTCTTGCCACATAAAACTTGATATGTTTTGTCTCATTTTCTCAGCGTTGATGGTCAGCAGCTTGCTTCTTCCAATACTGCATTTTTATCATTATTTTTATGGACTTATGAAACCTTTTAGTTTGTTTAGATTTTTTAAAAATCTTTGTCTACCTTGATATGTGTCTAAATCTGTCCATTATCCAAACCTAAGGTTAATTTGTTTTTCCATGTGCTTCAGAAAATGGAATCTTCAGAAGCAAGAGGAGTTAGTAGGATTAGGTTTCATAGAACCTCAGACTGCATTCTTTAACCAGATGATGATGTAGTTGAAGATGTCATAAAATAATGATGTGTTACCTGAAGCTCCACCTTTAAATCTTGGATCCAAGAAATGTGCAGCATCTGCTGTACTTCATTCATTCTTTAAACATTTTTTGAGAACTTCCTATGTCCTAGGTTCTTTGTTAGGTACTGAGGACTTAAAAATTAATAAGAGAAAGAAAACGAACAAGACATGGTTCTTGCGGGACCCGTCATCTCCAGAGGGAGACAGACATGGATGAACAGAACTTCAGTATAGCAGAGGCTGCATAATGCCGTGCTATAAGATACCCAGTACACCTGGAACAGAGAAGGCAGGGTCCTCGGCCATCCTGGGGACAGATAGGAAAGCTCTCTGGTGTCGATGCCCTCTCACCAAAGACCATCAGGAACATACCGTGGTTGAACAAAGTTGGGGTTCCTGGTGTGTTGCAGTGCGGGAGAAGGCACACCCTGAGGACCACAGGGCATCTCGGTGAGAGTTGAGAGGAGCTGGTTCGAGTTTAGAATTGAGGAAGCTGTAAAGAACCCATGTTTTGCTCTGGAATTGGTGCTGTCAGAAAGCAGTAGCAATTTTATGATTGAGTGTCTTAACCCGAAGGTGGAGCTAAAGCTCTAATAGGTAAAGGAGCAGCAGGGAGAGGAGATGTCTGCCCCTTTTTGTGGTGAACGGCGCTCTTGTTTCCGTCTGTGCTCAGACGTGGCTGTGGAGTGGTTTAGCTTCTGGCTTGCTCATCCTGCTGGCAGAGTGGCTTTGTTCACGCTTAGAGGGAGGACAGCACGGCCCAGCTGCTAGGAGCAGGCCAGCTCAGGTGATAATGGCCAGGGGCTGCTTTCATCGGAACAGTCTTGAAAGGGAATTCGAGTTAACCAGCCACACCGGGGGAGTGAGCGAGAGCAGGTGTTTCAGCCAAGGATGCGGGGTGAGCAGAGGCCCGCGGGAGAGTGGCGTCGGCCAGGGAGTGAGCAGTGAGCAACGGCTGACATGACCCTCAGACGGGGCAGAGGGCGCAGGGGACGCAGTGGGGCACAAGTCAGGTCACGGGGGTCCCGGCCGCGCTGAGGAGCTTAGATCTCATCCTTCAAACACTGGGATGCCATGAATTGTCTGTGAACCTGAGGGGACAGAAGGAGGTTTGAGTTGTAGAAAGCTTATGCCGACAGTTTCGTGGAGGGAAAATCACAGCCAGACAAGCAGGGGCTCCAGTTGGAACACTTTCTCTGTTATCCAGCCAAGAAAAAGTCAACCCTTAGAGGCAGAAATGTGATTTCATTCTTATAGTAAGTAGATTTTACATTTATGACAGCATACCGAGTTCTAATTCTGATTCAGAAATTGTTACAAAAGAGAAATACAATCTTCAGGGCACTCTGCAGGTAAACTCGGAGGGCCGGCCCGTGGCCAGCGTGGCTGGGCTGCCCTGTCGAGTGAGCACTCTCAGCCCATCAGCCCCAGCTCTGTGCTGGAGACCGTTTTCTCATCAACTGGAAGACACCACCGCTTCACCCGCTGAGGCTTGCTCAGCTAAGAGAGCTGGTATTGGTTTTTCCTTTTCTTTACTTAATTCTTGAACACAGCATATTTTATAACTGTTTCCTTCTCCTTTATGCCTTTTAGAAAGAGTAGACAATTTTGCAACGTTATGAAGCAAATGGGGACCTTGGTTTGAATATTTAGTTGCCATAAATTAAGAAGGCTTATTGCGTGCAACTTTGCCTAAATCAATTTGCTGTTACTTGCATATGACAGGAAAACATTTTTTGTGAAGTTGCACATAGAAGATAGTCAAATATTTGTTGAATGACCTTACCCTCCCTATATTCTAGATTTCACACATCTGACAACAAATAATTTTTTGTGGTTTGTCCTTTTCTGTTTCAACTTTTATGAAAAAAAGCTGATTGAGCTATTATTACAAATTTAATGATACCTTCTCTATATAAGATTCCAGACCTCATTGATTGTTCCTTCAGAAATTCTATCATCAAATATCTAAAGAAAATTTGCTGTCAAAATGTTGGCTGGGCAAATGATCTGAGCAGTTTAAAAATTACCTTCCCAGTGTATTTTCCTTTATCAGCAGTGGCATTTAAGAAGAGTGTAGAGCTCTGATAAGAACTTGCATAATGTGTTTGCCAACATTTAGGTATAATGAAGCCATGGAGAGTGTGTGACGTTGGTGATGGACAAGTCATCTCTGACAGTAATGTTTTAGAAACAATAGCAAGAGAATCATTTCTAGATCTAGAATATCAAAAACAAGCTGTTTGCACTTTATTAGGGTCTTACCTTGAGCCTGTGTTGTCCATTGTGGTAGCCACCAGCCCATGTGGCTATTGAATTTTAATTTAATTAAAAATTCAGTTCCTCTGGCACAATAGCCATATTGCACAGGCTAAGAGCCACATGTGGCTGCTGGCTACCGTATTGGGCGATGCAGATAGAGCACATTTCCATCATCTTAGAAAGTTCTATAGGACAGCGCTACCTTACAACCTGAACAGATTTTTTTAATGTCTGCTGGATACTTGGATAGTTTCTCTTAGTAACATTTAAAAATTCATCTTTAACTTGAATGTTTTTATAAATGAAGATATTTCGCCCCTGAAATATAACTTATAATATGGAAATACTATAAATTGATCTCACAATTCTTATTGGGAGGAAAGAAAACTGTTGTTGTATACCCAGTTTACAGATGAACACTAAGCTGTAACATGTGCATATCATACTCGTCTTCCCAAACCTCTAACTCTGTGGGCCTTGTATTCCTGCAATAACTGGCTATTGAGAGCCTGCCACATGTCAGGCTTACGTGTGGGACATACAGCTGGTTTCTTTATCCCCCAGCTGTTAAGATATAATTGACGCATAACATTGTGTCAGTTTAAAGTGTATAATGTAATGATTTGATACTCTTAGATATTACAAAATGATTACCACAACAGGGTTAGCTGACACCTCCATCACCTCACATAATTACTGTTTCTTTTTTGTGGTGAGAACATTTAAGATCTCTCTTTAGCAACTTTCAAGTGCATAGTACAGTGTTGTTAACTATAGTCACTATGCTGCACATTAGGTCCCCAGAACTTATTCCTCTTATAACTAAAGTTTCTACCCTTTGACCAACATCTCCCCATTCCCCGCCCCACCCCCTCAGCCCCTGGCAACCACCATTCTACTCTGTTTCTATGAGTTCCATTTTTTTTATTCCACATATAAGTTATATCATACAGTGTTTGTCTTTCTCTGTCTGATTTATTTCACTTAGCATAATGCCCTCATCCATCCATGTTGTCGAAAATGGTAATATTTCCTTTTCCGTGGCTGGGTGCTAAGACATTGTTCTCCAAGGGCTCCCAGACCTCGGCCAAGAGGGGCTGGAGCTGATTCACAGCCACTTCAGGGTTCGCAGCCAGGACCGAGGTCTCTGTGTCTTCTTCCCAGTGCACAGGTGTCTAAGACTCCTCCTAGGTCCCTTGGCGTATGGTGCTGGATCACACTTCTCCCACAAAGGCACTTTTGTCTATGGATGGATGCCAAGTTGTTGTTGGGGGTGGGGGGTACACGAGCAGGGGACACCTTATTCGTCCATCTTGCTGATGTCACTCTGCTCATATAGCTGCTCTTGGTTGGGTGATTTTCCAGAAACATCAGATGATCAAAAATTCAGTTGCTATTTATAGGCTGTGAAAATATGCCAGTTTGGCTAAATTTGCTTCATTCGTACAAACAAGATTATGTCTAAATACTGGTGAAAAGCTACAAAAGCTATTATTCAGAGCCATACATTCTTCTGAAACATGATTGTCAATGAGTGTAAATACATATAGCAGGAATCTTAAAATTATTACATATTTCAGGTTAAAGTTTATATTTCCAGGAGGGAGGATACATTATTCAGAGATCAGATAGATTTAAGCTCGTACCTTTCAGCACAAAAGTGTGATTTCACTTCCTTTGTGGGTTTCAAAGCCATATAAAAAGAGCTATGTCCCAAATTCCTTTAAATTCTAAAATCTCTAGACTGGTCTTTTCCTTCCACTTTGCCCTGAGCTTTTCAAGCAAGGGAGGTGGAGGAGGAGGTTGCAGATTTCTTTAATCTCTGTAGCAATGGGTCCTGAATTTTGCTGCACATCGAAATCACCTGGGGATCTTTAGAAACTGCCACCTACCTCCCACCCACCCCTAACCTGACTTAATTGGTCTGGGGTGACATCTTGGCCTAAGGGTTTTTTAAGCTCCCCAGGTGATTCTAATGTGTAACAAAGGTTGGGAACCATTGCTCGATAGAATCACCAGTGAAGACTTTTAAAATATACACCCTGGCCCTGCACTCAGAGGTTTTGTTTTTGTTTTCGATTCAGTAGGATGGGGTAGAGCACAGCCATCTGTAATTTTGAAGTGTCAAAGGTGATTCTGAAGCATAACTGGATTTGAGAACCACTGCTGTATAAGAATAAATGTTCCCTTGCCGTCTCTCCCCCCATATCCTCTACGTCTTTGATACATAGTGGAAAACACAAGAGCATATCTACCAAGTCAAATAAAAAGTCTCTAGGAAAAAGGCCACAAGAAGGTTGATACTGATGAACCCTGGAGGCAGAAACATAGATTGCTCTAGCTTTTGAGAAGAAACCACAGAGCCTCGGTATACAGGAAATGTAATAATCTGATGCCCTAGACCAGTGGCTTTCTTAATCATGCGTCAATAAAAAGGTGAAGGCTAACAATCTGAATATATGTGTATTTATTCATGGTTATCTACATGTACTACTGTACTTATGTACACTATAAAACATACGTAAAAATAGACTTTTAAAGGGTGAATAAGATGAAATAAACAATATATACATAAGTTTTACATTTTAATAGGAAAAAACTTTTTATCACTTGAAAATTAGTAATAGTGATGTTTAGTCAGAGCGGTGTTGGAACGTGCTGTGTTGGGTGAGCCTGCCATGGTTTTGCTTGGTGAGGTAGCTGACAAAGGCCTCATGTGAGGAAGTATCAGCTCTGCTATTTTCTCAGTGTTCATTGATGCTTACGTTATTAGAATTCTCTTCTATTGACTCTCTCTATAAGAATCTTTTGAAGATGCTGTTGATTTTGTAAATTTGTTTTAATTAAAACTGGCTAATAAAATCCATAATTCCATTTAAAAAGGCAGGTATAAACTGTAATATGCTGCAGTACACTGAAGGCACCAACAAGTGCAGATGCTGTTAACCCCTTTGGATTGGGGCGATCGTATGACATGTGATTGTCTGGCATACTCCAGGGACAACCTATTTATTAAATATTAATAAAGCCTAATTTCTTTTTTAGAATGGAAGTGAGTATAGATAGAATTCTGTCCTTCCACACCTCCATGGATCATCTTGCACCCCCTGGAGTGCTCATACCCTACTTTGAAGACCATTACTCCAGATAGCTGCATAAAAAAACCTGTTGCACAGTTCTTATAAATCACTGTAATTGAATAAATATTAGATAATGAAATATGAATTCTGATAGGAGTTCCAATCTCTTTGCACTTATGTCAACCTCTGAATTTGATTATGAAACTACTCCCTTTTTTATAGATGGGGAAATTAGTACTTTAGGTGACTGCTGAAATTCATAAGGAGTGTTTAGGGTTGACATTATAGCTCTAAGATTACATTTCTGTTTTTTCTTCTAATCTGAGTCATGGACTCTCTATTGATGTTTAATATTTCAAAAGACTTGGTTTAAAAGTCGGGAATTTGCTAATCATGGCTGATAATGTGTTCTAGACAAAATTTCAGCTGATAAGGCACAGATCTAAACATAGCTGTAGCTTATCCCAATTGTGCTTGTTTTTTCCAGCTTTCTTCACAGAAGTCAGTGCCATGGATACCCATGCTAAAATCACTGCCACTTTGGGCTATTGTGGTTGCACATTTTTCTTATAACTGGACTTTTTATACTTTATTGACGTTATTGCCTACATATATGAAGGAGATCCTAAGGTTTAATATTCAAGAGGTAAGAAAAAATAATCATCTGCTTCTTATAGAGAGTGTACATTTTAAACTGCACACAGAATTTGTTTTGTTTTGTTTTTTTGAGGAAGATTGGCCCTAAGCTAACATCGGTTGCCAGTCTTCCTCCTTTTTTCCTTTTTTCTCCCCAAAGTCCCAATAGATAGTTGCATGTCATAGTTATACATCCTTCTAGTTGCTCTATGTGGGACGCCGCCTAAACATGGCTTGATGAGCAGTGAGCAGGTCTGCGCCCAGGATCTGAACCAGGGAACCCCGAAGCAGAGCACGTGAACTTAACCACTACGCCACCGGTCTGGCCCCAGAATTTGTTTTTATCTATATTGAAGTTCAGTTGTTTTGTGTCTTCCATTTTACTCTGATAAACTAAATTCTAGAGACTTCTCCTTTTGGCCTCATAGTTCCTTCTTTTCTCAGTGTGAGTTAACTCTTGATTCAAGGTACCTTTTGGCTGGGATCCCCTTTAACCATAAAGGTCTTGCTAGTCCGTAGTAACATGCCAGGATTTCAGATGACAAATGCAAGTAGTACCAGTATCCCCTGTAAAAGGGCTGGTGGGGGCTCTGCTGACCACTGGGAGGAGAGTGGGATTCGCGGGTTCTTGTGGGGAGGTTGCTCTGCAGCTAATATTATTTAGGCACTTGCAAAGCTGTGCGAGAAGGGCCGTTCTGAAACTGCCAGTTCGTGTTGAACTCATCAGATAACTCATCCTGTTATCTCTACGTTGACAAATTTTGTCTTTAAAGAGATTGAGGAAGAGCGTAAAGAGAAAGAGGCAGTTTGTAGGGAAAATTGGTGGTATGTTTGTCTTCAAAATGAAGGGTAGATCAAAGACCTAAATGTAAGAAGTAAAACTCTTGGAAAGTGTACATCTTTGTGACCTTGGACTAGGCAACAGTTTCCTATGTATAACACCAAAAGCACAAGTGACCAAAGAAAAAAAATAGATAAATTGGACTTCATCACAATTAAAAACTTTTGTGCCTCAAAGGATACAATCAATAATAAAAACCCACTGAATGGGAGAAAATATTTGCAAATCATATGTCTGATAAGGGTCTGGTATCTAGAATATATAAAGAATTCGGGGCCGGCCCCGTGGCTTAGCGGTTAAGTGCTCTCGCTCCGCTACTGGCGGCCCGGGTTCGGATCCCGGGCGCTCACTGAGGCACCACTTCTCCCGCCATGCTGAGGCCGCATCCCACATACAGCAACTAGAAGGACATGCAACTATGACGTACAACTATCTACTGGGGCTTTGGGGGGAAAAAAAAAGGAGGAGGATTGGCAATAGATGTTAGCTCAGAGCTGGTCTTCCTCAGCAAAAAGAGGAGGATTGGCATGGATGTTAGCTCAGGGCTGAGCTTCCTCACAAAAAAAGAGAATTCGTACAACTCAATAATAAAAAGACAACCCAATTTATGATGGGCAAAGGATTTGAATAGACATTTCTCCAAAGAAGATATACAAACGGCCAATAAGCCCATGTAAAGATGCTCAAAATCATTAGTCATTAGGGAAATGCAAATCAAAACCATAATGAGATACCACTTCACACCTGTTAGAATCCAAAAAACCAGAAAATACCAAGAGCTGGTAAGGATGTAGAGGAAATGGAACCCTCATACATTGATGGTAGGAATGTAAAGCTGCTGTGGAAAACGGTTTGGCAATTCCTCCAAAAGTTAAACATAAAGTTATCTTATGACCCAGCAATTTCATTCCTAGGTCTGTACCCCGGAGAATTGAAAAGATATGTCCACACAAAAATATGTACACGAGTGTTTACAACATCATTACTCATAATAACCAAAAAGTGGAAACAACCTAAATGTCTCATGAATGGATCAAGAGAATGTGATCTGTCCTGCAGTGGAATGTTCCTCAGCCACAAGTGAAGGGTAGCCCCAGAGGTGGAGAAGCAGCCTGGGTGGTGCACGTGAAGACAGCAAGGCTGGCTGCACAACTGCATTAGCTAGCTACATGGACTCGCAGCTTTAAACAGCGTTCAAGTTGAGCTCAGTCACTTATCTCAAAGCATACTGAAAACATTGGCCACATGGACCAAACCTTAAACTTCACAGCTAAGCTATGAAGAACTCCTCTGGCTGCTTTTGAAAACCAAGATCAGTGATACTGAAGTATGTCCGTGAACTGCACTGACAGAAGTTAGGTTGAAATGAGGGTTTGGCAATGGCGTGGGATGGCTTTGTCATGAGAACCTTGTTTCCCAAGCTCTCTGTTAATGGCACCTGGCTGGGCTGTACTACTGTAGCGATGAATTGCATGCAAACTTAAAGGTCATTCCATTGATGTCTCTATTTGAGATTTTCCTGGGAGAACTATGGAAAAAATGAAATACCAATAGCTGGCTGGTCATTAGTGTTGTGTTAATTGCCCTCATCTATTTTTCATTGATTGTTTTTTTTAAATTCTATAATGAGAGACTATAAAACTGGAATCTTTTATTTTGCATTTTTATACAAAAAAGGCATCTTTCTGAATCAAAATTAGAAGAAATGTGAATAGAGTTTGAAAATAATCCTCTAGTTGTATAGAAGCCTCTTTTTAAAATGGATTTTTTTCTTGAAGATCAATATGTTACATTCATGAAATGGCCTTTGTTCAAAATAAAGCTTGCTTTGAGAAGCATTGTTACTTTAAATTATAATTTCGTTAATTTACAGTTTTAAGGCTCTGATCCAATAAGCTTGCTTTTTCATATAAGTTTAGTTTCATTAGTTATCCTCACTTTTCTTTTTTCCTAGTTTTTTACAATTCTGGTGTCCCTATTTCTTACAGCTCAGTGAGGGTTGGGGAAATATCTGTTACCTATTTTGGATCTTAATATTTTGTAATCAATTTTTTAAATAAATGAATACAAGGAATCATATCGTTGAACAGAAAGCATAACAAGTGTGGAAGATGCCCATGGGTGTCTAGATGTTGAAGATTTCAGTAGTTTTAGGTTGTGAAGAGAATTTCAAACATTGGAACTTAGAGTGGAAGAATTCGGTAACTCTGATGAATTACGTCTTATCCCGCTGGGGAACAGGACCAAGATCAGAAAATTTACTTCTCTCTTTGCTACAGTTTATTTATGTGTAGGATTCTGCCACAGATAATGATACATGTGATCCCACTATGCAGAAGTCTAAATGGAATAAAATTCAAAGAGCAAATTACTGAGCTTAATACCAGAAAGAAAAATCGTCAGCTACAGAAGTAGAACTGGAAGCATACAGCATCCGAATATAGAGGACTACAAACTGTGATGGAAAAATTAAATCTTGGGCCGGCCCCGTGGCTTAGCGGTTAAGTACGTGCGCTCCGCTGCTGGCGGCCCGGGTTCGGATCCCGGGCGTGCACTGACGCACCGCTTCTCCGGCCATGCTGAGGCTGCGTCCCACATACAGCAACTAGAAGGATGTGCAGCTATGACCTACAACTATCTGCTGGGGCTTTGGGGGAAAAAATAAATAAATAAAATTATAAAAAAAAAAAAATTTTAATCTTTTCTTAAGCACACTTAAATTTAAAGTATTAAATTTTTCTGCTGTGTACCATTAATGATACAGATGGAATTATTACCAGATTTAAATATCACTGATAAAATATCTTCCTACCATTTTTGTGTGTTTGTAAAACACTCACAGGTGTACCCGTCTCTCTCAGACTATAACAACATTTGTTTTTATCAGACTTAGGCCATTTAGTCTTGGCACCTCAGGTTTATGCTGGGGAAAAATGAGTAGAAAAAAGAAATTTCTCTCTTTTTTTTTTTCCAAGTATGTGTTCTTGATTTTGCAGAATTTCCTAAAAAGCTAACTGTCAAATCATTTTCTACAAAGCAAATAACACATTTCCATGATAAATTTTGTTTCATATCTCCTGATGTTTTCATTTTGTTTAGGTGACAACTTAAAGGAAGAGAAGAGGGGAAAAATAGAGGTCTGTCTGTCACCTCGCTGCCTTTGTCCTCTGCTCCGAGCATGTGCACCAGGCACCTGGCCTAGGTGGTGTTCACTTTAGAATAGCTTCTTAAGCTATACATTTGATTGATGTGGCTTTCTGTATCTATATTTTATTTTATAATAAAAATATTTTTAAGATAAATAAGTGAAAATTGAAGACAAAAACTGTTCATTGGGGAGAATCCATAGGCTAATAGGAAGACTTGTCTTCTCTCACTGAAACCGCAGCCAAAGTCCCAAAGTAACATTCAAAATTACCTTGAGCAGACTGGACTATGTAAACATTAGCTGTATATTGCTGTGTATTTCCTTTGTTTTCCAGTGGTGGTGGATGTGCGTGTCTGTTGTTTTGGTTCTTCCTCCCACCAGAATTAATCCTGTATCTTCTTCTTGCGTCCAGAATGGATTTTTATCTGCAGTGCCTTATTTTGGCTGTTGGTTATGTATGATCCTGTCTGGTCAAGCTGCTGACAATTTAAGGGCAAAATGGAATTTTTCAACTATATGTGTTCGAAGAGTTTTTAGCCTTATAGGTAAGTGAAGTGAATCGAGTTTTGTTTGGTTTACGATTATTTACTATGTTTATAGTGCAAGGCAAAATAAAAATGATAATATTAGTCATTTATGTTGTTCACATATCAAAACAGTATGTTTTAATTTTAATGCATGAAGTGCATGGTTCAAGATTCTTTTTGAACCATGCGTTTTGAGGATTAAGATAATATCCTTTTATCTCCACCATAGTCTTCTAAGTATAAAAAAATGGGTTGCTTTCCTGAATATCATCCCCAAAGTTTAAAAATAATTTTGTTTTCAGCTCTAAGTTTGCAGTGAAAATAAAATATTATTTAATTTAAATATTTTAGTTTTATTTAAATATTATTTAAACGTCCATCCCTTTCCTAAGTGAAATCTCAATCCAAAAATATTTAGTAACATCATTATATCAAATGAGGAGCTGTGAGTCAAAGAACTCAAAGGAACCTTAAATAATTATGTGTTTCAGATTCTGCTTTCAGAAAGATAAATTTTAAAACTATCTAGGACAATTATTCAATTTTTTGAAAGATCTTATGTAAGTAGAGACCCTGGAAGTCGCTGATGGCTGGACTTCAGGAATTACATTGTAAAAGGACCCTATTCAGGATAATTCTGCAGATACCTTCTGAGCACCTACTGCTGGAAGGCTGTCCTGTTCCATTGCTTGCTTACTTCAAACAAGAAATGTTTCCACACCTGCAAGTGAAGTAAATATCTTTAGACTCAATTCAATTTTCTCTTTTTTGGCTTCCTGTTGACCTGCTCTGTCTAGTGTGGTAGCCACTAGCCATATGTGGCTATTGAACTTTTTAAAAATAAGTTCCTCAGTTGCAGTACTATTTCCATCATCACAGAGTTCTTGGATCCCACTGCTGTCGACACAGAGAAAAAAGGGCAGCCCACTCGTTAAGTCCCTCCTGTTACCTATATTTCATGCCTAACTGCCTGTAATAAACTATGCTTATTGTCGTCAGTTGTTTAAATCCTAGATGGAGCATTTTTCTAACTTTTTCCAACAGAGTTTATTATTTACTGTATCTTCTTTGGTTATATGGACTTTTTTTTTTTTTTTTTTTGGTGAGGACGATTGGCCCTGAGCTAATATCTGTTGCCAGTCTTCCTCTTTTTTCTGAGGAAGATTGTCCCTGAGCTAACATCTGTGCCCATCCTCCTCTATTTTGTATGTGGGATGCCGCCACAGCATGGCTTGATGAGCGGTGCCTCAGTCCACGCCTGGGATTAGAACCTGTGGAGCCTGGGCCGCCAAAGTAGAGTGGGCTAACTTGACCACTACACCACCGGGCCGGCCCCATATGGATTTTAAATCACGTTCTATATCAACTGTTGCTTCTCTCGAGAACCATGTTTTTCTCTTCTTGCTCACTCTCTAACGTTTAGCTGAGTCCTAGTCACCTGTAGATTTAAGAACATTGCTTAATGAAATTTTCCTTTTACTTTTATATTTGTTGCATTATGCCTATATGTTTTCCGGGAGTTTTTTTTTTCCATGAAACTGCATAATTTAAATTTAGAGACTTCTAGGCAGTACAGTGTTTTTACGGTAGGTGGCAGTGATATTAAGTCTCAGATTTATACTCTGTTAAGGTAGAGCACACCAATGCTGATGCCGGGGCTTCTTTTTCTTCCGTGACTCCTCAACTCCAGGAATGGCTGGCCCTGCGCTGTTCCTGGTAGCTGCAGGGTTTATCGGTTGTGACTATTCTTTGGCTGTCGCATTCCTGACCATATCAACGGCACTGGGAGGCTTTTGCTCTTCTGGATTTAGCATCAACCATCTGGATATTGCTCCTTCGTGAGTACTCATATAAAGATTGGCTATGATTGACTTTAAATTCATTTTTTTTAAATTGTGGCAAAATATACATAACATAAAATTTACCATTTTAACCATTTTAAAATGGTGTACAGTTCTGTGGCGTTAAGTATATTCACATTGTTGTGTTTCCCATCACCACCATCCATCTCCAGACTTTTTTGTTCTTCCCAACGAAAACTCTGTACCCGTTAAACAGTAGCTCCTCATCCCCTCCTCCCAGCCCCTGGCAACCACCACTGTACTTTCTGTCTCTATGAATTTGACTACTCTAGGAATGATTTTAAATTCTTAAACAAGATTTCAGTTTACATGGTAATTAAAGCATGAAATTGTTTTTAATTAAACTTTTAACTGTCATCACCTTTGTACACAGTGTTCCCATAAACACACTACATAGAATACTTTATAACTTGTGTCTGTCCACCCAACTAGAATAGGATCTCTGAAGGCAGAGACTCTGTCTTACCCTCCTCAGGGCTCAACATGATGCGTGGCACATAGTGGGCATTTAGTTGGATGGATGGATGAATGCCCAAGACCAGACCCAGGTATTTGTTCAATTATTATCTTCCCTATGTGCACACATATTTGTCTAGCACTTGATAGCTTACAAATCACTTTCACAAACATTATCTTGTTTTATCCTTAAAGCATTCCTATGAGAAAGGTATTCTTGACCTATTTTATGACTAAGGAAACTCAGATTCAGAGAAGCTAAGTGATTTGTCTTAGACCACACGGCTAATAAATGACAGAGCCAAAACTTGAACCTAGAATTCTTACTTTTAAGCCTAGAATTCCCCCTAAAGCCACCTCTCTGGAAATATTCTTTGGGCCCCATACTTCTAGAATTCTTTTGTGCCAGTTGACAAGGTAGAGGAAAGAACTGTGCAAATATTTTAACCCAGAAGACTTGGCACACTTAATTTTTTTTTAAATAATGGATATAAATTTATTTTTGGAGAAAAGACAGGTGGTCTTCTACCATCTTTCCCCTACCCCAAATCCTACACACCTAGATAACCACAGAATCTTCTTTTTTTTTTTTTTTTTGTGAGGAAGATCAGCCCTGAGCTAACATCCATGCTAATCCTCCTCTTTTTGTTGAGGAAGACCGGCTCTGAGCTAACATCTATTGCCAATCTTCCTCCGTTTTTTTCCCCAAAGCCCCAGTAGATAGTTGTATGTCATAGTTGCACATCCTTCTAGTTGCTGTATGTGGGACGTGGCCTCAGCATGGCCGGAGAAGCAGTGCGTCGGTGCACCGGGCCGCCAGTAGCGGAGCGTGAGCATTTAACCGCTAAGCCAAGGGCCGGCCCAAGAATCTTCTGATTCCTGTTAATCCTCAGTCTTGGGGCCAGCCCGGTGACACAGCGGTTAAGTGCGCGTGCTCCACTGCGGCGGCCCGGGGCTCGCTGGTTCGGATCCCGGGCGCGCACTGACACACCACTTGTTGAGCCATGCTGTGGCAGCGTCCCATATAAAGTAGAGAAAGATGGGCACGGATGTTAGCTCAGGGCCAATCTTATTCAGCAAAAAGAGGAGCATTGGCATCAGATGTTAGCTCAGGGCTAATCTTCCTCACAAAAAAAACCCTCAGTCTTCCATCCCTTCAATCAGTACTTCAAGATAAGCTCCCCTAACCTGACTGTCACAGAATTCAAGCAGACCTTTGAAATCATTCTAATCTAGTCTCTCATTTTATATAAGAAGTCCAAGAAGGTTCCATGGGATTTGAGTCTTAGTGCGCACATCTCATGGCTGAGTCCTGGCTGCCACTCTGCAGTGCCATCTACTGATGCCCATGCTCGGCCCCTGCACTAGTGCCTTTTCATCTCCATCCCCTGGAATCCTTCCCATTTCACACCCCAGTTCTTCAAAAAGCCTTTCCAGACCATGACTGCCTGCTTTTCTCTCCTCCTTTTCTCAGTGCATTCCATTTATAATTTTATGCTAGATGCACTCATATTAACTGCCTTACCTTAATTTGTAATCATTTCTAAATGTAACTCTTATCTATCCTATCTCCCCAATTTGGATGTAAGCCCCCTCAGACTGCAGTCTTCCATGTCCATATCACGGCTTCGGCACACAGAGAGGCACACCAGTCCGTGCTTGTCACTCAGTTGATTGACATGATCATACCATGACAGTGGAAGCTGCAGTGTGCTTATCCCTCACAGTGGGGAACCAAGCAGAGAAAACCAGGAGCACTTAGACATTGGACCAAGAAGCCATTTGACATAAATGGGAATCCAAGCAGAAGCTCTGGGACTGTGAGCTCTGAGAGCGCAGGGGCCAAGTCTGTCTCGTTCCCCCGCGTGCTGGGCCGTGGTCGGGCGCAGTCAAGTGCATGAATGGAATAATGAAATAGACTTGAATATTCAGTACTGTGTTAACATTCTTTCTGAAAACCATTTGTGTATTGATCTTAAAGATTTTTTTTTTATTTTTATTTTTTGCCCCCAAAGCCCCAGTAGATAGTTGTATGTCACAGCTGCACACCCTTCTAGTTGCTGTATGTGGGACTCGGCCTCAGGATGGACAGAGAAGTGGTGCCTCGATGTGCACCCGGGATCCGAACCCGGGCCGCCAGCATCGCAGCGCGCGCACTTAACCACCAAGCCACAGGGCCGGCCTGTGTATTGATCTTATTGTGTGTCAACACTTTTCTTTAAAGCTCTTTCTTTACTATTCATGTATAATAAAATCAGTTTTTTATATTCTCTCTTAAATTTAAATACAGAATTCTTGGCCAGCATGCAAAATCCTCCACATTATAGCCCCAACCTGTCTCCATCATTTTGTTCCTCCCTCCCCTGCCTCACCTTCTATGTATTCTCTGCCCCAGCTGAACTAAACTACTCTTTATTCTCAAAAAATATCCCCCAGCACACACACACGCACGCACACACGCACTTCCCCACCTTTGGCCCTTTGTGCATGCAGGTCTGTATGCCTGGAATGCCCACACTCTATTTGGATTTGTCTCACGTCCTGTCGTGATTAGATTCAGATAATGCGTCCCTGGCCAGAAAACTGGCCTGTGACCTGCTCAGGGAATTGCGTCCAGAGGCCCCTAGTGATGTTAATTTTGATCACCCAGTCAAGATGTTGTCAAGTCTCTCCAATAGCTAGTTACTTTTTTTCCCCTTTAAAGCATCTCTGCTTTGAGATCATACAAATATCCTGCTCCTCCTCAAACTCCCCTCACCACCACCACCTTAGATTTAGTATCCATTGATGACCCATGCCAAATCAATCTTTACTATGATGGTTTCAAAATGGTGATATTTCAGCCCTACCACTCCCTCCACATTGATCGGTCAGCATTCTGTTGTAAGGAAGATCTCCTCTTCTCCTCTGCTTGTTATCTATCTGTCATCAGTGTGGACTCAGAGATTCCTAACTTATTAATGAGTTATAATCCATTCTTGTCCTTCTTTATTTTCAAGCACATATTATCTCAGATGTAGCCAGTGGGAGCCCCTTCAAGCTGGCTCCTATGGCCTATCAACTTGCCCCATCTCCTTTTTTTTTTTGAGCACTTCCTTATTGATGAAACAACCAGATGTTTCAGATTCATCTTGTACCTTCTCTGCCTTGAAATGCCTTGAAATCAGCCATTTCTCCAAGGGAGCCTGATTCCTTTTAGTGAGGAGTGGTATTTAGAAACCAAGACCCTGGCAAAGATCATATGCTTTCATTACTAAGTTATTGTCTCTTCTCAGCAGATGTTAATTACTTCTTAGAAATCACAGAAAGTGATTTTGTCAAAGGTTTATTTACAAATAGATACAAAAGTCTGCAATTTTATCAAATTATTTCTTTTCCTTCTTTTGTATGTTGAATAATCACCTACTAGGCTTTGTTTTGAATCTTTTTCCACTTTCTTAGCTTTGGGATTTTGAAAAGTGATCCTTTAGTCCTTCATAGAATTATAAAGTTATCAGTGTAGACGTGTAAATCTTTCTAAAGTGAATTGTACTGATGCCTTTCGCCACAAACTTAGCAAAGATGACACCTTTAAATGTATATTACGGGCCGGCCCCGTGGCTTAGCGGTTAAGTGCGCACGCTCCGCTGCTGGCAACCTGAGTTCGGATCCCGGGCGCGCACCGATGCACTGCTTCTCTGGCCATGCTGAGGCCGCGTCCCACATTACAGCAACTAGAAGGATGTGCAGCTATGACATACAACTATCTACTAGGGCTTTGGGGAAAAATAAATAAATAAATAAAATTATTTTAAAAAATAAATAAATAAATGTATATTACTTTTATTATTGTTATTATTTCCTAATTCTAGTAAATGAAATATGAAACTTGTTTGATTATTTTTTTATTTCTATAACCATAACTATTAATTAGAGAAATTGATGGGTTAAATAGCTGAGTTTGTATATCAGCTACATGTATATGTATTTAAATAGCAATTAAAAGTGTCTGCATAATAGTGAATTCCACAGGGTACTATGTAAGTTTATATTAACAATAAAATTGAGATTGAAGTCAAAATAATGGCTGCCACCAAAGTCTCAGTCCCTGAGGAGGTGATCCCAGCCTGGGGGAGATCTCACCCCTCGCCGAGGTGTGCCCCAAGCCTATCAAGTGAGTCTCTTTTTGCCAAAGGACTGTGCACCTTTCTTTCTGGTGATTTTAGGTTGCTGTTTGAAATGGGTGAATTTGTGTGTGGGCTCTTTAAGAGCAGGCTTTTCTTTCCTTTATATTCAATAGCTTTTCTGGGAGTGTTCCCTGTTGCTATTAATAGCCAGCAAAGCCAGATATTATGACACTCCTCTCAGTTGTGCTGAGTCCAAAAGCTGCTTGTTGTGGCAAAGCTCTCCTGCTCAGATCCCCCACTCCTCCCAGGAACGCTTTGTACCTTCAGATTGCTCCCAGCTGTGATTGCTCCATGGCTAGAGTGTGGCTTTTTTCTCTCCAGGAAGGAATTTCTGCCTCTTCCACCTCAGCACTG